GGGATAGGTGTATCTTGACACTGAGCTCTATCAGTAGTATAAGGCGTTTCCTGACATTGAGCTCTATCAACACGATAATATGTTGACTGACATAGAGCTCTATCAGTGGGATAAGACGTATCTTGACATTGAGCTCTATCAGTAGTATAAGGCGTTTCCTGACATTGAGCTCTATCAGTAGTATAAAACGTTTCCTGACATTGAACTCTATCAACACGATAATACGTTTACTGACATAGAGCTCTATAAGAAGGATAAGACGGTTCCTGACATTGAGCTCTATCAACACGATAATATGTTTCCTGATATTTAGCTCTATCAGTGGGATAAGATGTTTCCTGATATTTAGCTCTATCAGTAGTATAAGGCGTTTCCTGACATTGAGCTCTATCAACACGATAATATGTTTCCTGACATTTAGCTCTATCAGTGGGATAAGACGTTTCCTGACATTGAGCTCTATCAACACGATAATATGTTTCCTGACATTTAGCTCTATCAGTGGGATAAGACGTTTCCTGACATTGAGCTCTATCAGCACGATAAGATGTTTCCTGACATTGAGCTCTATCAGTAGTATAAGACGTTTACTGACATTGAGCTCTATCAGTGGGATAAGATGTTTACTGACATTGAGCTCTATCAGCAGGATAAGATGTTTCCTGACATTGAGCTCTATCAGTGGGATAAGACGTTTCCTGACATTGAGCTCTATCAGTAGGATAAGACGTTTCCTGACATTGAGCTCTATCAGTAGGATAAGACGTTTCCTGACATTGAGCTCTATCAGTGGGATAAGACGTTTCCTGACATTGAGCTCTATCAGTAGTATAAGACGTTTCCTGACATTGAGCTCTATCAGTGGGATAAGATGTTTACTGACATTGAGCTCTATCAGTAGTATAAGACGTTTACTGACATTGAGCTCTATCAGTAGTATAAGACGTTTACTGACATTAAGCTCTATCAGTAGTATAAGACGTTTACTGACATTGAGTTCTATCAGTGGGATAAGACGTTTACTGACATTGAGTTCTATCAGTAGTATAAGGCGTTTACTGACACTGAGCTCTATCAGCAAGATAAGATGTTTACTGACATTGAGCTCTATCAGTGGGATAAGACGTTTACTGACATTGAGCTCTATCAGTAGTATAAGATGTTTACTGACACTGAGCTCTATCAGTAGTATACGATGTTTACTGACACTGAGTTCTAGCAGTAGTATAAGATGTTTACTGACATTGAGCTCTATCAGTAGTATAAGGCGTTTACTGATATTTAGCTCTATCAGTAGTATAAGGCGTTTCCTGACATTGAGCGCTATCTGTGGGATAAGACGTTTACTGACACTGGGCGCTATCAGTGGGATAAGACGTTTACTGACACTGAGCGCTATCAGTGGGATAATATGTTTACTGACATTGAGTTCTATCAGTGGGATAAGATGTTTACTGACACTGAGCGCTATCAGTGGGATAATATGTTTACTGACATTGAGTTCTATCAGTGGGATAAGATGTTTACTGACATTGAGCTCTATCAACACGATAATATGTTTACTGACATTGAGCTCTATCAGTGGGATAA